CTCCAAATCCTATTTACATTGAGGATATTGTCCCTTATCTGAAATCTTATGAAAGAAATTGCTTTCAGCAATATGTGCTCAGGGAGAGATTTGTGTCACCTGGCACATTAGTATGTTGTTGTTATTGACTATAAACGAAGTAATTGATCAAGTGTCCATTATAGTGGAGATTGTCCAGAAGTTGAGTCAAATATCAGGTTAGACTGTTTTCTCACTTTATCCTGGTGTTGATGTTCCATCCAATTTTCATACTTTTGTTGTTTTATTTAAGTCATATCAAATCATATGTGCCTTATTTACATAGTAAGTTCTCAATAAATATTTTATGAAAGAGGCCTTATTCCATGATATAATGTATTAGTGTCAAAAATTGAAAAACAGATGATTGATGAACTTATAATGATGGAGATAATTTTTATAAAACAGCAAAATAGTATTAAATTACATTTGCCTTTCCTTTTGGCATGTTATCTGTATTTAAACTTTTTAATTTAAATTTTAATTTGCTTCTTACACCAGTTTGCAAATGAACTATAACACTAGCAATTGCAATTTTTGGACACTAAATTTACTAGATTAAAAGTGGTGTACCTTCCTTTGTTTTCCATCTCGTATCATATATTTTATTCTTTATTTTAAAATAGGAAATCAATCACTAACAGTATCACTCTCCTGAATGTATCATAAAATGAATTGTAGGCCCAGATGTTTAACTACCATGCATATGTGGAATTTAGACTGCAAGTGGTTGTTTAAGCATGGATTTACATAACCTTTGGAAGTGGGTTGCATAAAAGTTGGGCTTTTCACAAATACCACATTTCATTTCCTCTGCCAAGTCCTTTCGCCTTGCTCTGCGAACTGCTCTTGCCCTTCTCTGAACCCTCATGATGATGGTTCATCATCGAGCACTTAATTGCTCTTCATTTGTTGTATCCCCATCTCTGTCTTTCCAGCTCTGGCAGAGCTATGCTTTTTTTTACACCACTGCTTCAATCCTACCACTTGGCATAGTATTGCATAGGTGTGTGACACTTTATTTCCTTATTTTTTTTAGTTGTTTTTTTTACTAGGAGTTAAAATTTTAAGTGGAGCTATGGTTATCATAAGTATGAGATGTATGTGTGGTACCAGGAAGGGCCATTATGTTCTCAGTGCAAGTGTGTTTTTGTGACATTACATCACTGGTTAAATGCAATGGGGAACTGGTTCAGTCCCACAGTTTTCAGACACCTGCTCAAAATGCTTAGACAACCAAGACATCGAGATGTGAGATCAATTTTTTTTTCTTTGTTTCAGAATCAGGAGAATTGTCACTATTTTAATAGAAGGAAGCACATCAAAGGAAACTGATGCAGCTGCTGTGTTATACCCAGAATAGCTTTCAAGATATTTGGAATGCTTATGTTTGTGTGTTTCATACCGTGAGCTTCTTTCATAATAGTTTGCTGCTCATGGAAAGCAAATGGGATCTAGTAATGTTACTGAATAATTAAATAACAGGTTTCCTTTATAGCAGGAAGTAAATGAAGAAGATATTAACATTCAGGATACACAGAAATCTTTAATTCATGGGTAAATGGAAACGGAAACAACGTGTTGAACACAGCATTTTTCCTTATAAAGTCATTTTAGTATCATATATTATTAAGTTGATACATAACTGTAGAGCTTCTGCTCACCCAGTCTCTAGTGCATCTTTAACAGACATACACACACATATACATGCTATGAAAGAGTTGGTCAGGATAGGTTAGCTAAGAGGAAGTATCCTTAATTGTATTTATTTTATTAGTCAGTTGTATTTGTTTTATTAGTAAAGATGGCCCTATTTGAAAATGAAAAGCTTAATATTGGAATTAAGCATATTTGAGAAATACGTCTGTCTTTCTATTTAGAGCAGCTCAAAGAGGATCCCATCCTGTGCCTGTTTCCTTAGTGGAAGATTCTGTCTTGCTGGATTTGTACCAGAGATAATAGGCTTAATTTGTATTGTATTTTAAAAAATCCATCAAAGCACTCTCACATCTGTTCCCTCATTTGATCCTTTCTCAGCCCTATGAGACCTGTAAGTATGTGTCTTAATGCTTCTTTGACTAAGCTGAAATTGGAGGCAATGAGGGGTTAGGTGACTTGTCAGAGGATACATTTTAAATGAGTAGCCTGGGAGTCATGATTGCCTCCCAAATTCTGGGTTTTCAGATCATAATGAGGACCCTTAAACGTAAACACAGAATTAAACAAACCTAGGTACAGGTGCAAAATCAAATCAACTAACAGCTCTTCTAATGCTAGGGTTGGAACTTCAGTTTTGGGGATTCCAGTTCAGATCAGGTCCAAGGCCTGATGTGTGGGTATTTTTAATGTCTGTGTAAATTGGTCTGGTTAATTAGCATGATTGGACTCATGCATTCATTCACCCAGTACTGTTCTCTCTGAATTTTACCTTCACGTACTTTGTCTTCCTAATATATTAATGGATCTTTTCAAATTTGTTTTTTTCACTAAGGTGTAGAATTCAAGATAATATTTTTTTGTCTCAGAACAATCTCCATTGAAATTTTAAAATATTCCCAATTTATAATTAATTTTTTTTCTAATCACAAAGTAAAATTCTTCTAAGGTGAAAAAAGTACAAATAAACATGTTAATGAATCATAAATGTCTAAAAATATTTTTACCCTAAATTTTATAAAAAGTAAAAATATATCAGAATGGTATTAGAGGGAAAAATGGCAGTTTTGTTTTTTTATAAGTTGGAGAAAGTGTCAGTGGCATATTTTTGAGATTGACACTATTTCTCAAAAGTAAAATGTGTGCTTTATCTAGTGGTACAACTTATCAGGTATACATAAATCTGTACTACATGAATGTTGATGAGTATATATTTTAGCATGTTAGTAAGGAACAAAGGAAATTTAAATGTACTTTTCAAAAACAGCTAGTTAGATAAGTTATATTATCCATGAAAAAAAATGATACAGCCATTGAAAAATAATAAATATTTACATATGCTTTTATATATTTTTCTATTAAGTTTAAAAGTCATGTAGAATGCATATCTCTTATTGTTTTTATAAAAACCTTTGAAAGACAAACTACTAAATATATTTGGAAACGAAAACTGGGATTTTGAGGTGGAAAGAGAACTAAGGAGATCTAATTACACATTCTTCAAATATATTACATGTTTATTACTTTCACTAAATAGTAGAAAAAGTAATCAATCAAGCTTACAATAGTTTACAAACAGAACTATCTATAAACTGTAAAATAATTCTTTAGGTACTTTGTGTTTTTATTATGGCCCCAGTAACACATAGTTAATGTGACAAATCCATTTATATTTCCATAAAGATCATTTCTACTTGAAAAATGAATAAATTTTGGGAAACATCAGGTAGAAATTTCAGGCCATACTCAACTATGAGATTCTGATTGAGGCATATGGTTTACAAATGCTCCAAATGGAAAATAGTGGTGCAGTTGATTGAAAACTGTTATGTTGTTTGCATCTATTCCATATTGACTAAAAACTGCATAAGATCTTGCCTCACCAATTCAGAATCTTAATAATTTTATTACACTCAGGTTTGTTAAGGGTCTTATTTTTCCAAAAACTCTGGATCTATGTAAATGCTGACCTCCTTCGAAAGTCAGACAATGTTTAAACTGGGTTTTCATTTGCTAGATAATTATTTTGAATGGGGCATTTTAGTGGTTCTGAAAAAAAGTAATTCATTGATTAGTTGTAAATCCTGGGTGATTTATTCTTCTTTAAAGTCACCAATTACAGTTCAAGCTTATATGAATCTTCTTCCTTTGAGTGCTTACCACATAAATTGTCCAAATCAAAATGTTTCTGCATGGTTCAGCATGGCTTGTTCTACATCCAGAGTGAGTTTCAAGACACCCATTGCATCTTTCTATGTAACACTTGTAATTCTAACAATGAATTCAGAACAATAGTGAATGAACAGATATACCAGACTGAGCAAGTACTTAATTTTAATTACCAAGAAATTGTAGCTCAGGATAAGAGGTACCATGAAAAGCTATAATAGTATCTCCCAGGTTGGCAAAGTGTATATTGTAGAAGTCATTCTTACCTTTCAATGCAGAGAGAAAAGATGAGTCAACAAAATTTAGAAAGGACCCATGACTCAGCAACCAAGATACTTCTGTGTATGTCCCTAAGTGGGACAAATTTAAGAATATTCAACCTCATAACTGGGTCTAATGTCAGTCATGCTACTGTCTACCCTCATTCACAAGGATAATCAGAGTTAAATTCTAGTTTGCTTTTAGGTTTCTGAGATCAATTCTTTAGGTTTCAATGTTAGGTGCATGCAAATTAATATTTTAATTCAGTAAAATTAGGTTATTAAGTAGACAACCATTAAAAGCATATACAATTGACCCTTGAACAGTGTGGCGGTCAGGGCACTGACTCCAATGTACTTAAAATTCCAACTATAACTCACCAAATTTGATTACAGTAGTGCCGGGGGTATTTCTAGGCATTGATTTCAAGATCTGGCTCAATACCAAAATCCACAGACGCTCAAGTCATTCATGGTTGGTGTATTGTATTCTTGTGTTTCATGTCAACAAATTCAACTAATGCTGGATTTTGATTGACTCTCTGAATGCAGAGCTAGCGAGACTGGAAAAATTGTCACAAACCAGTTAACTCATGTAGTTCAAATCTATCTTATCTAAGAATCAAATACAATCAACACATAATTTCTAAAAATCCATGAGTAAATCTATTTAACATACCTCCCAAATACATCTCAAATCTTTCATGAATAAAGAGCAACACTGAAAAATTTTAAAATTTCATAGTTTTAGACATTATATAGTTTTCATTATGCAAAGTCCACAAATATACTTCTAGTAATTTCTATCTGAACGAATTTCATGTCAACTTTTATCTTTTATTAATGCTGTGTTGGCTTCACTATTTTAACTATAAAAATTTTGCTCCTTTTCTGCAGGCAGAATTCACAGCCATGCGGGAGCAGTACATGAGAGGTGGGGAGGGTTTCATCATCTGCTACTCTGTGACTGACCGCCAGTCATTCCAAGAAGCCGCCAAATTCAAAGAGCTCATTTTTCAAGTCCGCCACACCTATGAAATTCCTCTGGTACTGGTGGGTAACAAAATTGACCTGGAACAGTTCCGCCAGGTGAGTGCCGACTTATGTGTGAGATTTGTCTTTTTGTAAGGATAAATAGGACCAAGTATGGTTCTTTTCCAAAGTAAAAAAATGAGAATTATAGAAATGAATGTTTCATATGACTTTACTAAAATATGACAAAAACAACTCTATGGCCCTGTAGTAGGTTGTTACCTATCACGATAGTTCCTATCCCACTATCTTCCAGGTGGAGGTAAATGGTTTCCTCTATCTTGTTATATCTTGACTGGCCCTATCATTTATTTTGAGCAGTGTGATACAGTAAAAGTTATGTTTATAACTTGAGGTTGAGACTCAAATTCTGTGTGTTCTGCCTAGGCCATTTGAAATGTTTGCTCTTGAAGTCTAAGCCACTATGTAAATACTCCGAATAAAACACATGGGGGATGCTTTGTGTTCAAGTGGATACCCAGCTTCACAGTTGTCCCTGTCAACACAGTCTATATGGCCAAAATCATTTTGCATGTTCTAGCTCCAAACAAGATTTTTAACATTATAGAATAGCTTAGCAAACCCACAAAGAACAGAAATACAGAATCACAGGCAAACATGAGCAATATTTTTAACTTTCCAGAAACAGAACAAGCCATTACTTCTCAGGTTGAATAAGAAATGACTCCAATATACCATCAATCTATTTCAAGTTGTTCCTGTTATGTCATTGTGATTCTATCTTAATGTCCCAAACAAAAAAAAAAGGATAGAGGGAAACCATATTAAGTATAGATGATGATCCCTTATCAGATTTCATGTAGTTTGTTATAGTTTATGCATATCTAATTAGAGGCTACCAGGACCTGAAGAACAAACCATGATGGTCTCCTCTTACACCTCTGTGGGGTAATGAAATCCTTTTGAAAATACTTTCTAACAAAATCCTGAATCAGGGACCAGGCAAATAGGCTTCATGATACTTTGCTGAGAGGTTGCATGCAAATCAAAGTTTTGTAAATCAAATTCTCTAAATCAAGTGGTTTATTATAATGTGAGATGTTTCATCTTTATGTGCATTGACTATATTTGAACTGAAGTTTGTAGTTGTACTTAATGAGTTCTGTTTAGACTGTTCAAATTGTCCTACTAATGAATTCATCAGCTCAGGTAAGAATCTTCACTAAAACTATTTTCTCCTATTTTGAGTATTTGTGGTTTTATGTGTACAGAAAATGCATTTTTACTGTTATTACAGTGAAAAGATCTCATAGAGAGTCAATGTTTATAAATTCATGCTTAACGTGGAAACATATTCCTGTGATTTAGTGCCGTGCATTTTTGCGCTGACTTTTTTGTATAGTTTACAAGAAAGTTTAAAGCATCTTAAAGTGGCAGTCAGCTATCTTTGAAGCTGTAATATTTGCTTTACACCTCTGCATTTGTTTGTTGCCTTGTTTTGTAGCTTCCTTTTGTGCAAAAGGACTGTTGACGAGGCTTATGACATGGTGGTGTTGACTATAACACGGCTATATTACTGTGGGTTTTTCCTCACAAGTTCAATGTGTGTGTATTCGTGGGTACTTGACAGAAGTTATAGATTAAGGACTGAACCCTTCAGATTCTCCTTTGAATAATGGGCATGCTTATTTTTTTTGCGGGGTAGCATGAAGGAAAAGAGCACCTTGAGATAGAGGTATATGAAGCATGATCATGTGACCACCTGCACTGTATTGCTCAAAATTCCTAGAGGAAACACATCTTTAATAGAACAAATCATAATACTTGTGAGAGCAGTTGGTGCCTCTGCAAAAACTACTGAATTTGGAAAATTCAGGCAGTAGTGACTCAGGTTCTCTCTAGGGTCACTGGTCTCCATGATTCCCACATGAGCCTGGCATTTGCTGCTCCTTCAGCCACCTGGCACTGTGACTGCTTTACATGCTCAGAGGTGGTCCTCGGCATCCCACAAAGGATGCTCACTGGACCCCTACCTCTGCCTGGGAAATAGCAGATTGGCAGTGCTGTGAACCACAAGCCTCACAAACATCAATAAAACAGATACTGCAAACAACATGAAATTTAGTAATTTAACAGTGTTAACGGATTTTCCTTTTAGATAAAAGCAAATATAAACTTACAAGAAGTGCAGAAACCATAAAAACTCTATTGCAATCTTCTTAAAAATGCTCATGTACCAATAGCTCCAATAATGAAGTGTTGATATGCAAACATGGCTTCTGGCTGTGGAGTCTGTGATGGAAATAATTATTCCTATAATTATACTGTGGTTTTCCTTTTAATTCAAATGTTTTTAATTCACACTTTATTTCAATCCTGGAACTGTTCTGTATACTTGTAATTATTTGATGGAGGATGATATTTGAAAAGTGACTATATTTATAGAAAGTGACTTAAATGAACTACTGTTGTTAATGGCAGAATTAAGATAAAATCTAGATCATGAGCACTCCCTTTGTTCCATCAGCATTAACAGGGTAGTTCTTTTATTATTAAAATGCAAACTAACCAAAACAAAGATGCTGATACCTGCATCAGCTACACATACAACTTCTTTTAAGTTTTATGTTTTATGAAGATCGCTAGAATAATAAAGTTGAGCTCTCACAAAGACTCAAAGCAAGCCATGGTGGTGCTTTTGCTTCCTGCTGAGAGACAGGTGGGAAATTCACCCAGAAGCTCCTTTTCCAGTCTACATTGAAAGGGTTGAAAGGAAAGACTACTGATGAGGAAACTGATTTAGAAGCAGAGGCATCCACATTTTTAATGCATTTGGGTGAATCTCAAGATTTTTCCTATTAAGAAAAAAAAATGGTGTCTGTATTTTTAATTTTATCTTTATTCATTTTGAGCTAAAACATGGAAAGTCTGTTTAAAATTGAGTATTTGGGAATAATCATGTTGATGCTGGCTGATGATCCTGATGTTGCATCTAAATATATTTTTAAGGCTCAGTGCCAGGCTCTTAACACACATATTTTATTTAATCCTCACTAGAAGTCCACGAAGTAAGCAGCTTCTTTGGTACCTATTTACCTAAGTTTGTTTAAACTTTAACAACTTGCTCAAGGTCATAGAGCTAGAGTGGAATGATAATGTCCTGTGGGCCCTGATTTCAGATCTCCCTACTGTTGTTTCCATGAGCTTTCTTAGATAAAATTCAGGATCTTAGCATATGTTTCAGAAAATGGAAAATAAGCAATTCTGTTTTGTTGGCAAGTTGGATCTGAAAGGATCAGAATAACTCTTCAGGTGTGGAGTGAGGAGCTCCCGGCCCTGGAAAGAGTATTACACCTGAAATTGGGAGGGGGAAAGTGAGGGGAAAACAGCAGTAAGAGAATACAGTGCAAACTATCAAAGAGAACTGTTTTGCTATCAACTGAACATATCTAGGAAACTTGAAAGCCGTTTTTAAATTCCCAGGTATTGGATTCCCAAGTTTCCAGGACTTTTACCTCTATCATGTCTTCTGGTGTTACAATGGGACGTGAAAGGAGGTAAAGTCCTTTGTATTTGGGCAAACTCCACTAACTGTATGAAGTATATTGGTGCTATAAATGGAAAGGAAACCAAGGATTTGGGAGCTAGATTAGAAAAAATTCTATGTCAAGGACAGGCCATAAACTGTTTTATCCTGAAAACAGACCATGATAACCCCCTCAGCACTGACAACCTAATTGCAACTTAATACTCAGCTTAAGGCCATGAAATTAGACTTTCACAGATGGTGTGAATGCTGATTCATGATTGTGAAAGAACTGTTGCTTAGATAATCTTCATTGAAATAGCTAATGAAAGTAAGTCCATTCCTATATTGAGAGGGAACATGGAAGATGTGAGAATTAGGGTTTGCTATATTAGGGGGGAAATAGCATCCACTTAGGGTTGGATCAAGCCTGAGTGATCTTTGTAAGGTGGTTACATTGTGAGAACAGTTAAGGGCTGAGTAATCCATTTTCATCATCAAGAACTTTTTCAGAAAGGTACTGTTCATTTGAAATAGGCAGGAAATCCTATTAGAACAAAATTAAATGTTGACTGTATGGAACCATCCAAAAGGGCAAGCACTTTTGAAGATTGGGAAAGATCCATGTGGTCATCATATCTGAGGCAGACAGAAAGATGCTCAGTAGAGAAGGATCCTGACAATGTAGGAGAAAGTAGATGAATGGTGCCAGGCTCTTAACACACATCTTTAGGGAAGGGCTACCATATCTAGAGAAAGGAAAGTAAATGGTGAGGTTATGAATGAAAACAAGTGATGGAGTGCTTAAGGAAGCTCAGAAGAAGATCATAACACATTATTTTATATCAAATATCTTCAGGACAATTCCATAGACAGGACCCACCTTGAAAGTATAATCAAAACAAAAAATAAATGTCAGAGTATATTGGATGTGCTGTATTTTTTTAATTGCAAGTATCAATCAAATTTTAAGAATGAAATATAGAAGATTAACATTGTATTCATCTCTCATCATAAGCACATAAGATAATCTCTGCAAATACATTTTCCAAATTGTGTCTTAGTTTTTAAGGAAAGAAAGTTTGACAGTTTACCTAATGTTTTGGGGATAAGTATTCAAATTTATAGATCAAGTTTATTTTTCCTCTCATTAGCATTTTCTCTGTATACAATTTCATTTAATTAAAATATATATGAACTCCAATTAAGATAGAAAACAAAACAAAGTTTAGAGTTTTAAGTAATCTATGCAAATTATAGGTTGTAGAAATAGAATTTGTACCCAAGTCAATTATCTGATTCTCATATGTGTGTGTGTATGCATATATATATATATGTATATATATATATGCATATAAAATACTACTAAATATTGATCATTTTCTGGGTAACCAGCACTTTGAAATCTTGTTTTTCAGGAGTAAGTATGACAGATAAAACTTTTATTTGTAAGAATCTGAAATTAAAGTAGATGAGATATATAATTAACACTGAACATCTGTGCATATTGACTGCACACAACAAACATAGTGCTATGAATAAAACGATTTACATATATATGTAAACATTG